ATCTTACTGTTTAGCGAACGCTAATCGTATGTTGCACGATCGATGTCTTGTTATAATAACTTACCCTAATAATTATCAATCCTTTATAATTACATGTATTGTACATGTACGTAAAATATTTTTACACTCCTCTCCATAAGTTCGATAACTAGAAGTCTCCTTTAGATCATTTGTTAAAACCTGTTTATGTTTGGCGATTAAAAAAATCATAACATTTTTCATTTTCAGAACTATTGTAACTGAGAAACAAAATTAAAATTCACAAACATGCTTTGATATGCTTTCCAGTGAAAGCTTCCGGTTACCAAATTTATGGAGGGGAGTGTAACATGCAATAAAATGTGGGGAATTGAGGTTATCAAATTTATGGAGGGGAGTGTGACATGCAATTAAATGTGGGGAATTGAGGTTTCCAAATTTATGGAGGGGAGTGTAACATGCAATTAAATGTGGGGAATTAAGGTTATAAAATTTATGGAGGGGAGTGTGACATGCAATTAAATGTAGGGAATTAAGGTTGCCAAATTTATGGAGGGGAGTGTAACATGCAATTAAATGTGGGGAATTAAGGTTATCAAATTTATGGAGGAGAGTGTGACATGCAATTAAATGTGGGGAATTGAGGCTACCAAATTTATTGAGGGGTGTGTAGCATACAATTAAATGTGGGGGATTAAGGTTGCAAAATTTATGGAGGGGAGTGTAACATACAATTAAATGTGGGGAATAAAGGTTACAAAATTTATAGAGGGGAGTGTGACATGCAATTAGATGTGAGGAATTAAGGTTATTAAGTTTATGGAGGGGAGTGTGACATGCAATTAAATGTAGGGTATTAAGGTTGCTAAATTTATGGAGGGGAGTGTAACATACAATTAAATGTGGGGAATCTAGGTTACCAAATCTATGGAGGGGAGTGTAACATGCAATTAAATGTGGGGAATTAGGGTTATCAAATTTAAGGAGGGGGGTGTAACATGCAATTAAATGTGGAGAATTAAGGTTGCCAAATTTATGGAGAGGAGTGTAACATGCAATTAAATGTGGAGAATTAAGGTTGCCAAATTTATGGAGAGGAGTGTAACATGCAATTAAATGTGGGGAATTGAGGTTACCAAATTTACGGAGGGGTGTGTAGCATACAATTAAATGTGGGGGATTAAGGTTGCCAAATTTATGGAGGGGAGTGTAACATACAATAAAATGTGGGGAATTGAGGTTATCAAATTTATGGAGGGGAGTGTGACATGCAATTAAATGTGGGGAATTGAGGTTTCCAAATTTATGGAGGGGAGTGTAACATGCAATTAAATGTGGGGAATTAAGGTTATAATTTTCAGAACTATTGTAACTGAGAAACAAAATTAAAATTCACAAACATGCTTTGATATGCTTTCCAGTGAAAGCTTCCGGTTGCCAAATTTATGGAGGGGAGTGTAACATGCAATAAAATGTGGGGAATTGAGGTTATCAAATTTATGGAGGGGAGTGTGACATGCAATTAAATGTGGGGAATTGAGGTTTCCAAATTTATGGAGGGGAGTGTAACATGCAATTAAATGTGGGGAATTAAGGTTATAAAATTTATGGAGGGGAGTGTGACATGCAATTAAATGTAGGGAATTAAGGTTGCCAAATTTATGGAGGGGAGTGTAACATGCAATTAAATGTGGGGAATTAAGGTTATCAAATTTATGGAGGAGAGTGTGACATGCAATTAAATGTGGGGAATTGAGGCTACCAAATTTATTGAGGGGTGTGTAGCATACAATTAAATGTGGGGGATTAAGGTTGCAAAATTTATGGAGGGGAGTGTAACATACAATTAAATGTGGGGAATAAAGGTTACAAAATTTATAGAGGGGAGTGTGACATGCAATTAGATGTGAGGAATTAAGGTTATTAAGTTTATGGAGGGGAGTGTGACATGCAATTAAATGTAGGGTATTAAGGTTGCTAAATTTATGGAGGGGAGTGTAACATACAATTAAATGTGGGGAATCTAGGTTACCAAATCTATGGAGGGGAGTGTAACATGCAATTAAATGTGGGGAATTAGGGTTATCAAATTTAAGGAGGGGGGTGTAACATGCAATTAAATGTGGAGAATTAAGGTTGCCAAATTTATGGAGAGGAGTGTAACATGCAATAAAATGTGGAGAATTAAGGTTGCCAAATTTATGGAGAGGAGTGTAACATGCAATTAAATGTGGGGAATTGAGGTTACCAAATTTACGGAGGGGTGTGTAGCATACAATTAAATGTGGGGGATTAAGGTTGCCAAATTTATGGAGGGGAGTGTAACATACAATAAAATGTGGGGAATTGAGGTTATCAAATTTATGGAGGGGAGTGTGACATGCAATTAAATGTGGGGAATTGAGGTTTCCAAATTTATGGAGGGGAGTGTAACATGCAATTAAATGTGGGGAATTAAGGTTATAATTTTCAGAACTATTGTAACTGAGAAACAAAATTAAAATTCACAAACATGCTTTGATATGCTTTCCAGTGAAAGCTTCCGGTTGCCAAATTTATGGAGGGGAGTGTAACATGCAATAAAATGTGGGGAATTGAGGTTATCAAATTTACGGAGGGGAGAGTAACATGCAATTAAATATGGGGAATTAAGGTTGCCAAATTTATGGAGGGGAGTGTAACATGCAATTAAATGTGGGGAATTAAGGTTATCAAATTTATGGAGGAGAGTGTGACATGCAATTAAATGTGGGGAATTGAGGCTACCAAATTTATTGAGGGGTGTGTAGCATACAATTAAATGTGGGGGATTAAGGTTATCAAATTTATGGAGGAGAGTGTGACATGCAATTAAATGTGGGGAATTGAGGCTACCAAATTTATTGAGGGGTGTGTAGCATACAATTAAATGTGGGGGATTAAGGTTGCAAAATTTATGGAGGGGAGTGTAACATACAATTAAATGTGGGGAATAAAGGTTACAAAATTTATAGAGGGGAGTGTGACATGCAATTAGATGTGGGGTATTAAGGTTGCTAAATTTATGGAGGGGAGTGTAACATACAATTAAATGTGGGGAATTTAGGTTACCAAATCTATGGAGGGGAGTGTAACATGCAATTAAATGTGGGGAATTAGGGTTGCTAAATTTATGGAGGGGAGTGTAACATACAATTAAATGTGGGGAATTTAGGTTACCAAATCTATGGAGGGGAGTGTAACATGCAATTAAATGTGGGGAATTAGGGTTATCAAATTTAAGGAGGGGGGTGTAACATGCAATTAAATGTGGAGAATTAAGGTTGCCAAATTTATGGAGAGGAGTGTAACATGCAATTAAATGTGGGGAATTGAGGTTACCAAATTTACGGAGGGGTGTGTAGCATACAATTAAATGTGGGGGATTAAGGTTGCCAAATTTATGGAGGGGAGTGTAACATACAATTAAATGTGGGGAATTAAGGTTATAAAATTTATGGAGGGAAGTGTGACATGCAATTAAATGTGGGGAATTAAGGTTGCCAAATTTATGGAGGGGAGTGTAACATGCAATTAAGTGTTGGGAATTAAGGTTATAAAATTTATGGAGGGAAGTGTGACATGCAATTAAATGTGGGGAATTAAGGTTGCCAAATTTATTGAGGGGAGTGTAATATGCAATTAAATGTGGGGAATTAAGGTTATCAAATTTACGGAGGGGAGAGTAACATGCAATTAAATATGGGGAATTAAGGTTGTCAAATTTATGGAGGGGAGTGTAACATGCAATTAAATGTGGGGAATTGAGACAACCAAATTTATAGAGGGGTGTGAAGCATACAATTAAATGTGGGGAATTAAGGTTATAAAATTTATGGAGGGGAGTGTGACATGCAATTAAATGTGGGGAATTAAGGTTGTCAAATTTATGGAGGGGAGTGTAACATGCAATTAAATGTGGGGAATTGAGACTACCAAATTTATAGAGGGGTGTGAAGCATACAATTCAATGTGGGGAATTAAGGTTATAAAATTTATGGAGGGGAGTGTAACATGCAATTAAATGTGGGGAATTAAGGTTGCCAAATTTATGGAGGGGAGTGTTAAGGGAAATTAAGGTTACCAAACTCAACAACATCATAATCTTTGCATGTGATATAAAACAATATCTGTGGACCATTCTTACATTACATACATTTATTACTTACACTAAATTGATGTGAAAGACAGTTGTTACATTTCGAAAAATATACATATCATATAGGATGAATTTCAATTTTTAAGTTATACAGTACTTTGCGTAAACAGTTTATTACAGTAGATACATTGAATATGGTTCCATTTCAAGAAATATATGCCATTTGCGGTACTTAACGTTTTGAGAACAATGTCATATTTGTGAATAATAAAACCGTATACAATTCCGAACAAACACACTCTCTCAGAGCAATTTACTTATTCAATCAGAAAAAAGGCGATTCATACAGTAAAAATACTTGATATATACATGTAAGTCAGACATCATTAAAAATGTTAACCCTGCAACGTAAGCTGATTCCATTGTATCCTATAGACCTTCTGTACGTACATATATACCAGAAAACCAGTAAAATTCACAACCTAATAATGCTGTATTATATTATTTATTGAATTACTAGAGCCATTCCATAATGTAAGTAGTAATCATTGTAAGTATTTTGTTGCAACCATTCAAGTGAGAACATTATTTTATTGCAATCATTTCATTGTGTATGTCATTTCACTGTAAGTATTTTAGTGTGTACGTTATCGCAGTATAATCATGTCCGTATGTACGTGTACAGAATATCATTTCACTGCAATTTTTTAATTTGTACATTATTTAAGTGCAATCATTTTGACAATGCGTGCGTTATTTTATTTCCAACACTATCTACCACTCGCACGTTATTTCATTGCAATCATTTTAGTGTGATACGTCATGCCACTGCAATTATTTCAGTGTGATACGTCATGTCACTGCAATTATTTCAGTGTGATACGTCATATCACTGCAATAATTTCAGTGTGATACGTCATGTCACTGCTACTTTTTTAGTCTGTACATTATTACATTGCAATCATTTTAACGAATACTTTGTAGTTCATTCCGTTGAAATCATGTCATTGTGATTTTCTCTTGTATGATCTTTTCATACATGCATACGACAAACGAGACTTCCTGATTGTGTCTCGCGAAAAAGAACAAGCGCAAATTTTTATCATGAATTGTTATATTTAGAGACCAGATTCAGAAGACAGTTGAGTTGGTGGAAGTAAGCTTTCAAATTCACTGGTTTTCTTTCCTCTATTAAACTGCCGAGGTAACCATGGATCAGATGAACTCAGAATATTCTCATCAGCTTTCCTTTCTATACTTTCAAAAACATTTTCAAGATCGGAATCATTATCAGGAGTCATAATATTTTTATTAGGATCTACTTTTGAACTTTTTTCTTTTGCGCTTGTACTATTTCCCGAGACGGTTCGTTGTCAATCGTCGATAGGAAGTTTTTCGACTAGTTCTATTTTGTCTTTTACTGGTTCATAGTCATCTCCTTGGTAGTTGCTGGACATAAGGTAACCTTTAGCACGTGTTATAGATGCGTTGGCGGCAAACACGGAGTCGTAAAGTAGTGCGGCGATTACACCGCCTAAAATAGGTCCAGTCCAATAGACCTACAAAAAGGCAGAGTTACATCTCATGAATACATGTTATAGTAACAGAGGTATACATTATTCTAATAAGTAATTAGAGATAATGAAAAGGTTTGACAGTAACTACTGACACCAGGCTTGGAATGCCAGATGGAATACACCTTGCTAATGATTCATTAAGTACAAATAGTATTTTTTTCTTTTACTTTTATAGAATAAAATGAATACACATAACACGTTATTTTACAATTTCCATACCCAATGGTCCTGCCATATTCCCTGGACGACAGCTGGTCCCAAACTGCGAGCAGGATTCATACTGGAACCTGTATATTTAATCTGAAAATAATTAATTGTGTCACATTTTTATCCTGAGCTCATGAACGAATTTAATTCTCACACCGGTTTGATCTAGTGAAAAGATGACAAGAGTTGTATAGCAATATTGGAATTTTAGGACATATTTGCACTGGCGGATTAGGGGGGGGGGGGCCTGGGGGCCCGGCCCCCCCCCCCTTGGGTGGGCCCAGAAAAAAAAAATTGGGCCCAAAAAAAATTTTGGGCCAAAAACGGACGTTTTTTCTCTGACTTCAAATTTTGGGCACCCCCCTTGTTGATTCCCAGATCCGCCCCTGATTTGCATGTTAATGTTTTATACTATAGAAACTCAGGTGTTTTTGAGGTGTTTTCTACAACTGTTTTTACACTCCCATCATTCCAGCGAATAGATTTAGTTTTTTATGTGAGTAGAGTGTTGGAGGCTGATAATTGCATCAAGACGTGATAAAATGCTAAATTTTTTTGTTTTATTTGAAATTATAAACTATGCCCAGCAATATGTTTTCTTGACTTGTTTACTTTCCCCAATTAACATAGAATCAGTTTTCTTCATAACGCGAGGGTTTACTTATGAAGGTTGTTTTAGTTAAAAGAAACAACTTATACAGCAGTTATAAGTTATCTATGCTAATCTTACATTCTAGTTACATTTTAATCTTCAGTTTATTCTATTTTAAGATTGGAGTATTCTCTGTATTATTTACTAAATGCTACTCATCAATTCATTATCTTTTGTGAATTACTTAGGTTCATCCTTAATGCAAATATACTATACGTGTGCATTATCAAAAGAAAAAGATCATAGTTTATAGGTATATATACAGGGTGACCCAAAAAATGCAACCCTCCATTTCTCGAATATTTTTCTTAAATGGAGGTAAATTGCTCTGAAATTTGGCACACAAGGACTTCATTCAATGTGGGATCCTCTCGCAAAGTTTCAATAATCATAGTCTTATATTGATAGAGTTATGGTCGTTCCAAAATATGCTCCAAATGTCGTCCATTTCCAATGTAAGGTTTTCGGATGAGTCACATTCCCTTCTTTCTGAACATGTAAACTCAAGAAATAATGTGTTCTGGGATCACAAATTCCAAATAAAGTGCTTCACAGGCCCCTACATTCTGTTAAATGCACAGCTTGGTCTGCCAATTTCCAAACATGAACTCATCAGCCACTTTTGGTTTGAGGTTGATAATGGCAACACTGTTACTGCTAACACACAGCGCAATATTGGCGTTCCCGGGCAGTTTTAGAGTGACACAGAGGCTTCAATAGACAAGAACAGTGGTTCTAGAAGGATGGAGCTACTCCTCACACTTCTAATGATAGCATAGCCTGGCTCACTAGTCATTTCTATGAGAATATTATCTCTCCTAGGACGGAGGACCCATGGTCATCCCACAGTCTTGTTCTCAATGCCTCTGACTTCTATATACGGGGTTATTTAAAGGTTAATGTGTATGAAAATAACCCTACTGCAATTGCAGAACTTCCTTGAACATTGCAAGTTTGTTTTCAGCGAAATTGACGATATCTGGAGCATATTTTGAAACAACTATAACTCTAACAATATAAGACTATGATTATTAAAACTTTGCCAAAGGATCCCACATAGAATGAAGTCCTTGTGTGCCAAATCTCAGAGCAATTTACCTCCATTTAAGAAAAATATTGACGAAATGGAGGGTTGCATTTTTTTGGGTCACCCTGTACATCGATGAATCTAAATTAGTCCCCTGAAAAGGTCTGTTAGATTCTGTGTACGTATATATTTGGAGGTTTTCAAAAATTTCAATCAATTTCATCACAACTCTCTGATCGTGACCTATTAGTGCTAATTTGGAAAAATGCAACTACAAATATAAACAAACTTTGCCATACTTTTGGTGGGAGTGTGTCCAGTTTGATGAAACATGCGTTGCCCCTATACACGGGTACTAACCAGATCTCAGGTTGCCGTGAGCTTTTACGGATCTTTGTTGAATATGGATCATACCTCCGAGTTCGCCCATATACAGTCGAGCAAGCTCACGGTATCATGAGATCTGGTTAGTGCCCATTCTGATATTCATAACATCTTCTTGTTTTTCCACTAGAAAACAAAAACTAAAAAAGGAGATCATAGCCGTGGTTTCTCATAATGGTTAGTACCCATGCCTATATATAAAGCCTTTGGATGACTGACGTATTGAGAGCATGTTTATTTGTTGATAATTATTTTTAGAATCATTTGTATATTTCATACACACATTCTTGATAAAAATACACTAAAGAGATAAAACGATAATTTACAGCTAGACCATAGTACAGCCTGAGTACTTGAAATAATTTATGTTGTAAGATACAAAGAAACGTGTGTATGTTTATTTAAGAACGTATACTTTACTGTATTTATAAACAAATGTTTAACATGTAAATTTAACCAGCATTATTATATAAATCATTTTACTTTTTTATGGCGCCTATCAACATATTTTCATGTTGATTTATAACTAAATTGATAATTACAACATGACCTTTTGCCAGTTTACGCCAAACGGACAAGTTCATGAAAGTAAATTAGTTCCTCAGTTGCTCATGATCAAAAGCTCTTATTTTAACACAGATTAACAATTAGTTAATGAAACATAATCTTCAACAATAGTACAGTGTCGTGTCTTGCTGCTTATCTATTTTATAAAGCCAGGGGAAACAAATCTTTTTCTCAACATAATATTATGTCCGAAAAACTTTTCTTACCGCAAATAGATGGCAGAGTGTTACAGAAAGACCTATCTGTAAAGGGCCCGATCCTTTCAGGTCTGTGCGTTTACCATCACACGAAGCAAACACCGTAAACACTAGGACGAACGTAATCATCAGCTCTATCCCAAACGCTTGTTGAACTGAGACGTGAGAGTTCACCGTAGTAGCGCCTAGAGTAACTTGAATGTGTGTCGAATTACCCGGCGTGACGCCTTTTAAAATCCCCGCCCCTGCTATAGCGCCTATCGATTGCGCGATGACGTAGAACACACTTCTAGCTACTGAGATTTTCCTAGTTACTAGCATCCCGCATGTGACGGCGGGGTTGATGTGACCTCCGCTGACATGCGCAATGCTCCACACCATTGTTGCGACCCCTAGGCCGAATGCAAGGGCAATTTGGACCATCGAAGGATCATAATCATCCAGCCACCCTATACACGATCCACATCCTATAAATGTCAGGAATAATGTCCCTATTAGCTCTGCTAGCACCGCCCTCCAAAGCAACGGACTTCTTACATCCTCAATACTGTGCACCATTTTACAACGCTCCCCACACGTCATGGGTCAAACAGTGCCATTCAAAGCTTGAATTAAAAAAATAACGATATGAATTCTGACTTATATTGTAGAATTATGAACCGGTTAAATCCGGAAATCCTTGTGTTAAAATGACTTTAAAATGCAATATACTTGTTAAAGAAGTAAATAATGAAGAAAGACTATCAAATTTCTATTTACCCTCTTCATAATATCTTAAATATCAACGATCAGAACTTTGTACCGTCTACTGTACGTAGTAAAACAGATTAATCAACTTCGATTCCACTCAGATTTGATACGGCGCATCGTCCTAATCCAGTATATATGCAGTAAATATATATTCAAATTCACTTATAGAGGTAGCCTATCGCTTTTAAAATGCTGACGAATCACATCATATTTGATTATAAGTTCATTCTAGATTGCATGAATTAATTATTTACATGAAGTCAAATATATCAAATGTAGTTAGTTGTACGAGATTGTTATTTCATTAATCGTAACTAAATATTCCAAATACTAGAATCTTACAATATACTAACCTTTTTGTAAATTCACTGTTACTTCATCGTAGGTTGTTTACATGTAGTCTTTTTAAAAAACACTTTTTTTGTTGAATCATAAAAGCTACGTGAAATTGAAATGTATTGTAAAATAACCGTCAATAATGCGTCGTATGAAAGAATAAACATTAGAACATTATGTCAATGACATTTAAATCATGACATTTTAGTAGGCCTTTTTGGGAAAGGTATTTCTTTATATCTTTTAAAATAATTCCTTAGTTGCTGTCAAAACATATTTACATCTTAATGTTTTATACTATAGAAGCTCGGATGTTTTTGAGATGCAGTCTACGACTGTTTTTTGTAAAATTGTTCATTGTTATATAGTACCCCACACAAGGTTTTGATAATAACTTTGACCCGTGATTTGAACACTCTACCTTATACTATTTTTATTGATTTTAGCACACATAAACTAGAGGCAATTTCAAACATTGGAATTTTTTCATTTTTATTTTACTTCAATAACTATAAAACACAAGCAACTGAACCAAGGGTGTTATTAATAGGTTTTAACCAATTTGACGTCATAAATCAAAATTAAGAATTGCTGATTTTAACAATTTTATTATATTTACTTATCACTTATTTGAACAATAACACTCCGTCAAAAGTAGGCCTTTATGGTATTTTTGAATAGTCAATGGGGCAAAATCCCACTTGCCCCATCGAGTCCCATCTTGCCCCATCGAATCCCACGAAGTCCCATGGGACCTTGATGACTCTGCCCCATCGTGCCCCATGGAGTCCCATCAAGCCCCATGGAGTCCCATCAAATCCCACCGTGCCCTATTGGTGTATGTCGGGCTTCACACAACACGTCATATGATCGAAAATCCCACGATGCCCCATGGAAAGAATGAACATGTTCATTCTCGATGGGACTAATTGGGACTTCGTGGGATTTTGCCCCATCTTGCCCCATCGAGTCCCATCGAGTCCCAGACTTCATGGGACCTCATGGGACCTCGTGGGACTCGATGGGGCAAGATGGGGCAAAATCCCACGGAGTCCCATGGAGTCCCACGGACTTCATGGGGCAAAATCCCAAAAGGTCCCACGAGGTCCCACGCAATGTTAAGTCTATGGAGGTCCCAACTTGCCTCATTGGTGTATACCGGGCTTAAAATATATGTAAATAGTTTTCGCATTAAATTGTTGTCCTTCAGTCAACATTACATAAAGGACTGTGTTTTTACAGAATGTTTTCAATAATTGGTTTAAGAGAAAAACATTGTTAAATTCAGTTCACCATATCGATACCTATCCTTTGATGACAAATAGTATAGGCACTCTACTATACCTTGCATTTGGCTTTCATGAGCAACCCATTTGGCTTATTAGTAATGATTATATATTTGTTTGTATTTGTCTGTTCCTTATAAATGGTTTATCGGTTGAAAGTTGGATGTTGATAAGGTACTTTCAAAAATATACTTAACAATCCAATTAGACAAACAAACGATCTTATGCATTTCTAGGTGTTAGGTATAGTAGTGTGATAGGGTGGAGTGTTCAAATCACGGGTCAAGGTTATTATCAAAAACTTGTGCGGGGTACTATATCATTCCTATAGCCAGATTTGGACGAAATAAACGTTTGCAATCTTAGTCCAGGACCCTTCTAAACAGTATAACATACATTCACACTTGATTTATTTTCTCATTCGAAACTTATTACTATATATTTTACCTTAATGAAACTATGTACACTTATAATGTTCATGAAATACTAATTGAATAAGTCAACTTACGACGAAATTGAAGCCTATATATGCTATAATCCTTGACTATGCTGTATACCGTGACGTGAGCACTTAATTAAGTAAATGGCTATGCTATTGTTTGCAACTGAATATGATACACAATACAACTTTAGGTCACAACCTTTATCCCAATTCTTACCTGATTTACAGTGCATTAACTCTTATTTGGCAGTCAATTCAACTTAACTTCGTTTTGTGTAAAGAAACACCCAAAATAAGTATAGAAAAACAAAGTGCTTAACCGCTTGAATCCAGACTGTGCCGTGTTAGCTGAACTTTACTGGGCCTATCTCATCCATGTTCTGATACACTGGCGGATCCAGGTGAGACATACCCCTAGGATGGGCCAAGAAAAATTTGGCCAAACAATTCTGTAGGGCCTCAATTAGTGGGCCTTTCGGTGACATTGCTTTTTAAGCCTGTTTTTTATTTTAGGTCAAATCATCAAAAATGAGCCTTAAATATCCATAACCTGGATCCAATCTTTAGTTTTAGGGCCCCAATTTTTTGACTTGAAGTGTGCGTGTTTTTGGTGTCTTCAAAAAGTCTTCAGGAATAACGGCTTTTTGCATCAAACAAAAAACATTATATCAAGAAAAAAAATAATATCGCTTTCTTACTTTTGGGGTCTTTATGTCAATTGCTAATGTCACGATGCCAAAAACTGATAAATGTACATGTAACTGTTTAACGTGTCACAATGACAGCAGACAAGTCTACCATACAACAAAAAATCAATGATTACTTCGATAACATTGGTTACATTATTTGTTTGCCTTACACCTGTACAACCGACCCTTGTTTCAACGTGAACGTATACCTATACTGTATCATAACAACCAGGGAACCAGGGATTTCTGTCCCGTTCTCAATTGTTTGTTTTCAGGGATCTGATTACAAGTATTTTCCTCAAACGTCAGGCCCGTAGCCAGGAGGGGGGGGGCTTCGAGGGGGAGGGGGGGGGGTTCGAGCGAAAAAGCCAAAATGGGACAATGTTGTCAAAAGTGAACCCCCCTGGAAATTTAGAAAGTGACCCTCTCTTTCTATAACTAACAGCGGGCAATTGAAGATAAGACTTTTGTGGTTTGTCAGCTAATCTTGATTGTCTTACATAAGCAGTGCATGATTGTTTTGTTTTGTGGGATTGTACGTGCAGCTTTAATTGTTTAAGTGTACAGATTGTAAATTAATTAATGTACCAGGGAACAAATGTTTTGATGAAAAAATAAATTAAACAAAATATTCAATGAATAAATATTAGACTTTAAATATGCATTTGTATAGTGTACGTGTTTGTTTGGTTCACGACAATGTATACCTTTTAAATTGACTCATATCATCACCTCGTAAGAGTAACACCGACTTCTATCGCCATGAAAAGGAGCAACTTTAAATAATGAGTCACTTCTTTGTAAGCAATGACATTTAAATTGCCTCTTTAGTTATTTACTTCATTTTCACACTGGTCTATAAAACTGAATAAAATACAGAAAATTGCAATTAAAAAAGTCAATAAACACTCCTTATGATATCTTTAAAGTTTCGAGAAAATTCTTCACTCTCTCGATTTCATAAGTGTATATAAACTACTCGTACGTGTGAATCTTCAAAATGGTGAAAAAATGCATGCGCGTGATGCGTAATGAAATAACAAATACAGTAAAACCTGATTAATCGGCCGAACGCCATTGAGACCGGCTAAAGTGCCCGGATTAGGAGCGGTTCGGATTTTGAGGTTTTTGCATCCGCAAGATTCTAGATTTTAAACAAATTCAAATGCATTCTCAATGAATATTAATATTATCCTTATTGGCCACATAGCTTTATGGCTTTCCAAAATCCGATTCAAATGAATTAAGTCATGCTAGAAAGTATGGTTGAGACGATTTGATGTTTTTCAGCAGTTTTGATATACTAGTAATATAACAAATCAGTTTAAAATTGAAAACATTTGAGCAATTTGTTAGAAATATGTGATATTTTGTAAAAGTTTTTCAAATATGAATTTGTTCTCTGTTCGTATGAGGAGGTGTTCAGATTTCAAGGTTTTTTAACATGGGGGTCAATGGGAGGGAAAATGAGACCGGAATAGTGTTCGGATTAGACAGGTGTTCGGATGCGCCAGATGGATACACGGGTTTCACTGTATGTTTAATAACCTAAATGGCAAATATTCAAAATATTCAAAAACTTATACGAAAACATTCAATAAAAAGAGTTCATGATCTGGGATGTTCCTGTCGCCATAATATAGTTGGAAATAGTTGGTTCAGACTGGTTATTTTGCTTAGAATGTTAGAAGTCTGAATATCTAATATGTCTTGAGGTTCATACACGAGCAGCAATGTATCATGAGAAGTGAGGTCATATCAAAAGTGATAAAGGTATACTGTAAATACAAACGGAAAGAGGCTTTAACACATAGTTCAATTGGGGAGCTAAGGTTGCCAAACTTATGGAGGGGAGTGTACGTACTTGAATTGCATATTGCTTTTGGGGTGGTTAGAATGGAATGAAAAACTAGGAAGAAAAGAAATTATGATAAGATCCCTATTGCAGATGAAGTCGAAAACCCCGGCGCCGAGACTATTTTTTATTTCGCAAGATTTTAGTAATAAAATGAATGATTCAGAGAAGCACAATGCGACTAGGATCTAGTAAATTGCAAAGATTGATGAAATCGAAGATTAATGAACTCAATTCGAGATAACTTACGAATTCAGTAAACAGTTTTTATTTTGGGGCAATTGACAGATATTTCATAAAATTAGGAATTTCTAATTATAAATTTCATTGTTTCCTTACAATGATGTAATTACATGTATATCCATGGTTACAACAATTAGGAAGTCATCACCCTAATCTCCTGATTTTGAGAGAATACGTTTGAGAAACAATAGGGAGTTTACGCTTGAAATGTTTTTTACAACCCAAACATGAACGGAAAATATTTAAGCGATGCGATTTGTCATACGTATAGGCTGGCGTTTTGACTTTATATGCAAGCTTAAACTCCCTACTAAGAGGTCGGTGAGGCAACTTAGAAGGTGGTGTCAAATTACTCTAGAAGTTACTTTTGAAATGTGAGGTGCAGACATGATTTCAAAATCAACAAAAGGTCGGGTGACATTCTACATCTCTTCCAAGCTTATGTTTTTTATCTGGCTTTTCCCAGGTATACAATAAGAGATTCCGAATTTACCAAAACCTGGGAATCTTGAAACTCTTTATTCACCTTACAATTATTAACCAATTAGAGTAATTACAAAGCCTATCGGCGACAAATTTGAATTTCACGAAAAATAATATCCTTGTCAGTACATATATAATAGAAGTATATTACATATAGACGTTCAGAAAAGTGGTGAATAATATTGATGACGTCGACGAATTGTAACATCGTTTATTATCCTTATACATTATGTGTTAGTATCTATTCCGTCTATAGTCTGCATCACCGACGGGGCTCGTATAATTAATTTGCCTCATTCAGATACCTACAGTATATTGGATATTGGATTGGAAGAAACCAGTTCTTACATTATACCTGCGTCTCAGATTACATCGAACTATATAATATATATATATAATCTACAATCTATTGACATACTGTACATGTCAAACATTCATTTTCACAAATATGTAATACAACGCAGTGAAACATCTCATCAACGTGTATTCCAACGAAATCACGTTAAAGGACTATACCTGGATGTATTTCGGAAACTGTACAATACGTCGTTAGGGTTACACGCGTCTCTCTTGTTTTTCTAGATAATTGGACACGGTATAGTATATGTTTGTAATGTGATATGCATGTATCAATTGTTTTGCTCTCCAATAAAACGGAGGAAATAAAGAAACATAAACGTAAACGTAGTCAAAATTATATCCTGATAATATAAACTGATGAAGCCGCTGGCCGGCAGTCGGGAGTTGCATTCACGAATGCTGGCTTGCTTGACATATCAACTATATCCAAAATAGAACTGTAAACAAAAATGTGATTTCTTAAAAGGAAATTGGATTACGCTATGAAATAAGTCGGAATGCGTGTTTCAAACTCTTTATTTGGAGCGTACATTATAAATATTTTAAATGTGTACCCATTCGAGCAATTTATATTCTTGCAAAGTGAATTTACTACTTGTTACTTCACTTCTGAATTTGAATACGATTTAATTTTACTTCGACTTCCTTCACCCATGTCGATGAAACTTATACAATAGTCTGAAGGATTAAAAGAAAAACTGAGTTCTAATTTTACGTCTCACCGTGTAATAGGACGGCGAATTATCCTTTTCCTTTTTCAAAAAAGCAAAATGAAAGCTGCACCAAATATTTCATTAATACCTGTCGTATTTTAGTATTAGAGACAATTGTACAGTGAACGAAATACATTACGGTAACCATCCGTTGATCGCTTTGAAGATCAATTGATTTCTAGTCATCGAATGAAGATATGAGATCTGGATGATATTCATATACAACTCAACAACTATAGCAACCGCGGCCCTACAATGGTTACTAGGACATCTCATCAGGATCTCCTTGAGCCTTTACGGTTGCTGATTGCTTGCTTTGCAGAAATGATCGGGACAATGATGATAGTTCTCTTCTGCTGTGGTTCATTAACGGGAGAAGAGCCCATGGATCTCATTAGGGTCTCCCTCACATTTACCTTCACTGTCACGACCATGATAGCCATTACAGCTGACGTCAGCGGCGGCCATATTAATCCTGCTGTTACCATAGCAATGCTGGTAGCCCGCCGTATTTCCGTTTTTCGATGTTTAACGTACATTGTTTTCCAATGTGTTGGTGGGATCGCTGGAGCTGTTCTACTCAGAGCTATCGTTGGAGAGGATAATGCGAACTCATTGGGCGCCACAATGGTAGATTCCAAGCTGACATACTCGCAGGGGTTTGGGATTGAATTTATCATTACCTTCATTTTGATCATGACAGTGTTCGCCATCACTGACCCGGCAAGGAATGATAATCTGGGATCAGGACCTTTACACGTTGGAATCGCTATTGGCATGGGCCATCTCCTGGCAGTAAGTAGAAGTCCTTTCAAAGGTTAGGCACACCGACGCTCGATACAAAAAAAACTGTTTCAGTCTGATTTTTTCCTTATATACAATAGGTCGAAAATGAAAGAGAAAGTTTGATGTTTACCAAACTTAACATTACTTTTAACTCTATTGGGGAGTTTGGAGTCTCGAATTAAACTTTTGGGAGGAGAATGCTTTTTCTGTTTTTTTGTTTTTTATTGCATATTTCTTAACCTAACATCATCCATTATACACATACAAATCTATATATAGAATAGAATTATTGCACATTTATATTACCCAATTTAAAAATTAGGATTTTTTTAGCGACCATCTCCATTCAGAGGAGAATGTTTGACTATAGTTTTTGGTATGAGTGTATGCTCCGCTCCAAATGAAAGATGTATTTTATACTTTATATTTTATGAATCATATAATTGCAAATGAGTTGTAAGTCCAGACGGAGCCATGACGTGATGTTTCGCTAAGAGCTAAGATCCTCACCAATAATTAAAATAAACACATGCCAAATATGGGGTTCGATCCACACTCCTTTCAAAATGTCAAATGTCACAAGATAAATATAAAATGTCACAGCATAGACATAAAACAGAAATTTCGTCAAAAATAACTCCCGACAATTAGTGGTACAAAGGAGATCTTTTTATCAACCATGGTACAACTTCTCATTTTAAATACAGTCTCATTTTTGTCAATGGAGTAAAACTAGGACTGAAAACATGCAAGGTGTACAAATGTTATAGGCGAAGCATTTGACTTAAAGAGGAAGTATTATTATCATTGGATATCATTTTTACTCTCAATTGAAAAATACATTTTTAAAAAATGAAATATATACGTTAATAATTATTGTATTGCTTAATTGATATAACAGGTACTTTATGCAAATTCTTTGAACGTTGAAATGTAGATATTGTATTCCCATTTGAATTTAAATGTGTTTCCAGGTCCCCTATACAGGGGCTGGTATGAATCCCGCCAGGTCACTTGGCCCTGCTGTGGCCATGGATATTTGGACAGCTCACTGGGTAAGTTGTACCCAATCTGTAATTTTCAATCAAAAATGAGATTTTTAGAGAAATCTTATGCTCCCAAATGTATGTTTTATCGTCAAACTATTGTGTATCTCCCTTATGATCTTATATTACTCGTATATGCACTGACAAAAACCAGTAGCGTACATCAGAATACAATTACGGCCAAAAAAGTATGCGAACGTTATATCTGCCCGCTGGTGAAAATATAAGTTTTTACAAACCTGCTTTATGTGCTTGTAACATGTCCAAGTATGGGATAAATATTTTTATCCAGCGCGCAGAGTCTAGTAAAAAGATAAAGCAAAGAATTCGAACGAATACAAAGGTACTCAGTGCATTTTAGAGATAACCCCATCATCAGTTTCGACAGTATTGGTTGAAGTCATGAAAAGTCAAGGTCACATCTTACATCTATGAAAACTAACAGAACATTTTAACAACACAAGTATCTGTACATTTTTTCAGATATACTGGACAGGCCCAATAGGTGGCGCCATACTAGCAGCATTGTTATACGAACATCTTTTTGCCGCAAACGCCACTTTGAGAAAAACGAAAGCATGGTGCATGTCCAGACAATACGACAATGATAATTTTGAAAAGGCTTTGAGTAAATTCGATTCAACAAAATTGTAAGACGGGAATATGACAACAAGTAACGCTCATGGGCGTGCCAGGGGTTTAAAAATGGACGCTACAAATTTAGATGGACGGGGCTTGAAGAGAACAATGATGCGATACTATGAGACATTATTTTCACAGTTTTGTTTTTATACTAGGGCTACAGGATATGACTTTTTAGTGAAAATGTAGTTAGATAGTTGGTTTGCATGGGTCATGGATTTCCACGCCCATGACATAAAATAGAGTAACATTTGTGTATATATAGCAGTAAATATGAAATAATTATGTGGTTGTGTTAACACGTTTAATTATGTTCATTCATCAACGTGAGGTTAAGTTACACGTTTTAAAGAGAACTTGTACGTAAACTCGTAATTTTATGACCCTTTGAATTACTCTCTACCTCTCAATTGTTTTATCCAGGGATTTATAGCTGCTTACAACCATTTTCCTTGTACCTTTATACCCAATCAGGCAACTAAAGCAAACACTACTAAGGGGAGAACTTATCCTACAAGACCATAAAGTTACACGTTCGCGTACAATCTCCCTCTTGAGGAGTTTAAGCTTACATATAAAATCGAAACGACAACCCATACGTCTGACCAATCGCCCGTACAAATGCATCGCCTTAATATTTTCCGTTCCCGTTTAGGTTGTGAAAAATATTGCAAGCTTAAACTCCCTATTAACTACTTGTTACCATGCCAACCAATGGGATTAGTTAGACTCATATGCAACTCTTCTGGTTAATACAATGTAGATCAAATTCCTTTTAGTCCCATTGACGTCATTAATTAATAATATTGCTTATACCATCTATATTGTATACGAAATAATATCAGAACTATTTGTTGGGAAGAAGTCTGTAGCATTACCTAATTGTTATAAAAGACACAAAGCAGAGACATTTTCAAACTTTTCAAAATATCTGATCGTGATTCACGAATGCAAGAATAATTGAGGCGCTGGCATGTTTGTTGAGGGTACAATGTATTTGCAAATTGGCTAGCCGAGTTTGACCTGAGATGAAGAAATAAGTTTATTTTTTCATCCTTGGTCTGACTTAGCATGGAAAATATACACGTATGTTAATATATACCACGAAAACATCATCAAAAATACCTTTGGGGAATACAACACCTATAAGGCATTTTATTTTTGGGCTTACCCCAAAGATTTTAAAATAATTTCATGTTTGAGAGGTGACGTTTATTGTATTTTACTTAGTCCTTATATTGTTTATAAGGTATCCTTATAGTATATATAGTTCTCATTATATATAAGTTCTCCTTATAGTGTATATAAGTTCTGGAGTATACGTTAACCTTTTTTATCGTATGATCTGTAAAATGAAGCCTTCTGATTGGTCAGTTCTTGTGCTGTACCAATCTGTATTGCTACTGAGATTGTCCGCATTGATAATCTCCGTCGCAATACAGAAAATATTGGTACGGAGGGGACATTCTCAGTAGCAATACAGAGGATCACACGATAAAAACGTTATAGACTGATTTGAAGTGCAATACAGGATATATTCTGTCTCGATATTCTGTATTGGCACTCGACTTCGTCTCGTTTCAATACGGAATTTCTCGAGCAGAATATATCCTGTATTGCACTTCAAATCATTCAATAACTTATAATATTATGAGGCTATATGATGATTGATTCCGTATATCGTGCGTATACTCAAGTGAGTATATGATATATTCAGGAGTGACTGAAGGGAACGAGTGAATATATCATATACTCACGAGAGTATAACGATATCCAGAATCAACCATTATATGATCTTATTATCCCACCCTAATCTTTAATCAATAAAAGGTTAATCTAAATTCAGCAGTTGTATATCAAGTCGAAGAGTTGTATACGCTGCCCAGGAGTTGTATACGTTATCCAGGAGTTGTATATTGTTCTCAAGAGTTGTATACGATGAGTGTTGGTTTTATATTGCAGTTATACAATGCTTTTATACAATCATATAAAGCACTAAGGGTGGAATACGATTCATTATATCATATCCATTACATATAAATTATAGAGTATACTTTAGCCTTATCATGAGGAGAAATTATATTGTCTTCACCTCGCAAACGGGTTCGTCTGTAGCTAATACCCTGATGGATGTATTCCCTATGGTAAACATGTTTATTTGTAGTTTATTTGTGTGTTTATGAATACAGTAATAAATTGTAATATTGTAAACGTGCTGCTGTGTGGTTCTTTCCCGATATAAATACCACGAAAACATCATCAAAAATACCATGCCACTGTCTTGCTAAATGCTCATGGAAAACAGTTCTTGTACTTGTTTTGCTTGTACTGCTTTTGCACGAAACAACAAGGCAAATGGTGTACAACAACACAATGGCTAATTATCTGTCTATTTGCATGGCAATATGACTTAATGCGCTAAACGTTGCTTCGGGAGTGTTCTCATTAATAAGTTATCAATTATCGCCCAATCATGCAATATTAATACTTACCTGTGTAACCTGGCACAAGACTGTTGAATTCTGTAAATTAATACAGAGTGGTTGAACATACTGAATATCTAGGAATGATATAGGATTAAAATCGTCTATTATTTCTTACTGAAATAAATTTGAGAATCTTGATTTTTTACTTTTTGTATTATATTCTTTTGTATTTTCATTGGATTTCACGCCATCTATAGATAACCCTTGCGTCAAATCAGACCATCGCTTCCACATTATGTTGCCTGGAAGGAGGAGGGTTAACAATGAACATCATGACATCTATATGTAGTTTATGACAACGATAATTTTCCAAGAACCAAAGTTTGCAATTATCCAACAAGCAATCCTCTCTTCAATGGACTCAATGGTTCAATGGTATTCACCCCGGACAGGCTTATTTTCCTGTCCTGTTAACATTTGGTGCGTCAACGGAGAAGATTTAATGAACCACATATCCACATATTCGTTCCACCAGCTTGCGAACTTACCAATGATGATTGTTGGGGCACATTGTTCTATCCTAGGATGATCCTAGGTTTTAACAAAACGGGTCAAATCACTAGATATCTTTGTTTTGAGAGGATCATGGGAACTTTTTTGTACTCAATCGATGTAAGTACTAGCATATAGGCGTATATGCTTGGGTCATCAAACTGAAGTTGTAGCAGCTGAAATCGGATGAAGCAAGATGAGCACATTGCAGTTTCTACTTGGATGCGCACATTTTTCAAAAATACCTTGATCCGAAGAGCTCGGATCCCACCTCGTGTAATTACAAATATTCATTCTTAGTAATACACCTGAGTAAACATGTTAGTCTCAGCCTTGTCATATCATGGTCAAATACATGTACATGTAAGTCAGATACTCATGCAACAAACTTCAATAAAGTTATATTAATTTAATGTTTCTCTCAGATGTTTTTGTATAACATGTTCAGTTGGAATCACAAATGCAAACCTCTTGCCTATTATCTTTCAATTTCCTTTGACAATTTTCGTACTTTTGAACTTTGAGTCTGCATTTTCAATATGGCAAAAATGACATATTACCTTCAGGTAGTCACATTAATTACCTGTAGTAATATAGTAATGTATGAAATGTTATCATGTGTCGATTTGTTAGCTCAAAGTACATACTCATCAATTCATGATACTAATTTTATACGAGGGACATTCGATAAATACGCTCAATCAAGGTTCAAAGTGTATTGAAATTGACTTGTAATTGAAGTACTGTTTCCAAGGCGTGTTATACATGATTCCTTTATAATACATAGCTAACCCTTTTAAATATCTTAATAGAACATGTAATGTCTCCAATCTCTGATCTGGGAGTGCAATATTGATACCTAACGAGGTGTTTGGTGAGCGTATTCGTTGCATATTTATAGAATACCCCTCGTACAAGTTCCTGTTTTAAGATTTCGAATATACTCAGGATGGCGAAGCAACTAATCTGCTGATTGTCATAATTCCAGGTACGTTGTATCAATTATTTGTTTGATTTTGATTCTTGTAAAAGCTTCATGCACATTTTGATATAGTGTGACGGAACGTGGCGTCTGGGCCGAGCGGAAACCCGAGTGTCACTTTAAAACTCTCACGTGGTATGAGAGCCGGCGGGGAACGTCTGTTGGTGAAAGGATTTTGTTGTGTTGATTTTTATTATCGTTCTGCCACTGATATTATACAAGTAGAATAACAAAGAATGACAAGGGAAATATAATAACTTTGATAAATGTAAAATGATCAATTTAAATTGGAGGAATATGTGAATGAAGAATGATGATAATGAATGGTTTGGCCAATATTTAAATTCTACAACATAGCTCCGTGAAACAATTAGAGCACACTTTGATGGCTAGAAGAGCAAAATGTAATGAATACTGAGTACGGTAGGCTCCTAGCGACTTGAGCTCCAGAGCAAAATGCTATATTCAAACTAATGGCTCCACAAATCTCAATACACAAAATGAGCAAGCAACAGGCTCCGGAGCAAAGTGTAACATTAAACAAATGGCTCGGAAAGGCTCCGTACACAATAGGAGCAAGCAGCAGGCTCCGGAGCAAAATGTAGTGCTCAAATAAATGCCTCAGTCAGGCTCCAAACACAATTAGAGTCGGTAACAAGCTCCGGAGCAAAATGTAATGCTCCCAATGAATCAATAAATCAATGAGCCTCAAAGCAAAGCAGGCTCCAGATCAAAATGCAAGGCTCCGAATTAATAATCAATCAAGCAGGAGCTCTCAATGGGCTCCGGAGCAAAGCACAATGCTCCAAATCAATAGTTAAACAGCAAAACAGGAGCTTTGAGAGCAATTAAGTACCTATTGCATATGAATTACTACTACCTTGGTTATACCAATTAAGTCACATAGCAATAGTCTTACACTACCTTGCTTCTTTGGAATAAACTCTTTGCTCCACACAAGTGAAATTGGCTCCGGAGCAAAACGTAAGGAGCAGTTTTGGTAAGAGCAATTTGTTACAGATATGGCCAATCTTTAGACAAAGAAATATGAATGTTGTAAATTGTAGCAAAAATGAATGTAATGAGATTGGAATAATTGACAGAAGCACTGGGAATTAAGGATAAAATTAATGAATATGCGAAACGTTTAAATTGATAGAAATACTGGGGATAAAGAACTGATAATAACGAATGCTAATTAATGGAATATTTCAAATAATGGACTGTGAACTGATTGAATGAAGGAACGATGTAAAATTGAATTTATTTCCCTTATCACTCTTGAATTGCAATGGAAATAAAGCAGTAAATGTGGACTAGATTGACTCACTTTAGCTTCACTTGTTTATATCAAAACAGACACAGTGAATTTAAATGAACAAATAACAAGACTTTATTGTAATAATTACCTTATATCAGAATACATAGTCACAAGCAGCGCTGAACGACTTTCAGGCTAACAACGTATCTCCGTGTAAACGCAAGATATATCCAGTTATGTTCAAAATAAATCCACAATAATACGATCACCAGTAGCACAAATATCCAGTGTAACTTAATACAGCTATATAAATCCAAAATCTGCTAGGAATCAGTTATAAATCCAATGATACAATTCTGTTATAAATCCAAAATGTAATCGCAGGTTCTTACTCTTC